AGCTCGTTTAATGTCACTGCACATCCACCTGCCAGTGTGCACTCGCCCTCCTCTCCGCCCGTCTTCCAGAGGTATGCGGCTGGAAGTCGGCGCATATCATGCAGAAAATGCCTCCCACCCTCCAGCGCCGCACACGCAGCCCCTCACCACGCTCTGTACATTTATCCGATTGATTTTCTTTGCCGTAATGGCCTTCAATTGGAGCCACTCCGGTCCACTTTCATGGCCGAGCACCGATGAAAGGAGCCCATTCACCGCTACATTATCCAGGGAGTTTTCAGGGCTGCTGACAATAATCCTCAGAGAGGACAGTGGAGGGCTATTATGGGCTCTGCAATTGTTAAAAAAAAATTAAGTTGGCAGAAATCCCATGCTTTGTGCTGACTAAACCTCTTTAACCAGAATACATCCTCCACATGATACACTTTTCCTGGTTTTAGCGATCCCACTGGTGCAAAATCATCCCTTCTATTTATAAGATGCTAATTAGAATAATTGAATCTTTTCATCAGATAACTCCAGTCATGTACTGTGTCACACTCAGTCGTTCAGCACTTTGCCGTTTCTAGATGGTTGGAAAAGTGTCAGACTCCACTGGACAACGTCCTCCAGCTTTTGGACGTGTCCCTGGTCCAACACACCAAATGAAAGGATAAACGCCTCAGCATCAACTCAACTTACAAATATGAGATTCAGGTGTTTACAAGCAGAGACGCATCAAAAAGCTGCAAACACCTTTACCCTATTCCACTGTTTAAAGTTGAAACCAGGCCTGAAACGATTAATCACGATTAATCCATCATTGAAATAATCAACTAATTTAGTAATCATTTACTGTAGTATACAAACCCTCCAACAAAGGCCATTTGGTAAAAAAACAAACAAAAAAAAACATAGTAATTAAGCCAAAGCTTTTCTTTTTTTTTTTTTTTTTTTTTTACACATTTTCTATTTAAGATTAAAAAAAAATCAAGTTTGTCTGTAAACCTGATCTAAAACCGTTTTCTCTCTGGTAACAAGATAATGCCTCCTTGTATTTTCAGCAAGTTTGTAAACAAAGATTAATGTAGTTTTTAGTTAGAGCTGAATGATTAATCGAATCAATTGTGATTAATCGATTAGTGAAATAGTCGTCAGCTAATTTAGTCATCGATTTATTGTTATCTAGCCTATAAAGACTCAACAAAAGGTCATTTACTTAGAGGGCAAAAATTAAGCTAAAACTGTACAAAAACATCTTCATTTTGTATTTAAGATATAAAAAAAAACTTTGTAATTATTTTCTACCTAAAACTCAAGTTTATAGTTTTAGCTTCACCTGGTCCAAATTAGGTAAAAATAAAAAAATCAACCACCTTTTGCGATTTAATTATTAACCAGTTGATCAATTGATCAGCCCTACCTACACTAGCGTTAGCATTTCTTGCATCCTTTGCCTAAAGGAAAGCTGTTATTGCATTTTACCCAATAAAATGTTTAGAATTTAAAACAGGAATTGCATTTGTTGAAAATTCAGAATGTGCCAATTTTTACATCTGATTAATTGCCAGAATAAACGAGTGAATAATTGAGTCCTGAAATGATGAATCATTGCAGACCTACTTGTATCCGTCCATTAACCCGTCCATTGTCCATTTGTCAGTCTGTCCCTTTAGTCCATCATCCTGTCACCCGTCTTCTAATCATTTAGCCATCCTTCCTTCATCCTTTCATCAGTCTATCAGTCTGCCCATAAATCCACCCTTCTGCCCATCTGTTTATCCATCCAGGTAATTCATCTGTCCACCCATTCTTGAATCTATCCATTAATCCATCCATGTTTCCCTCCATCCATCATTCTGTCCATCCATTTATCTGTTTGTCCATCCAGTCCTGAGTTCATCCAGTCATCACTCCATAAATCAATCAGTTCCCTCTATCCATCTGTCCAAATGTTCATCCATCCAGCCATTTGCTGTTTTGTCCGTCCTTCCTGTCTTGGTTTTAATGTCTGCCACAAACTCACACCTGACTTTCAAATTTAAACATTAAAATCGGAGGAAGTGGGGGCTTTTATTGTGAAAAACGTGCTGCAGGAACCCTGCGTGTAGGTCGAAGTTGGATCAGTTGGAGCTCCTTGTCCTTTTGGCAAACCGATTATCCTGCAGAAATTAAAAATGCAAGCTCACCTAATAACCCGAGTCAGTCGCTTCATTACTGCGATGGAAAGTGCCATCAGAGTCTGACGGGTCGTTTCTGAGGCCGAGCAGCTGCGTCATCATCGCCCCGTTTAAACCCAACCGGCTCTGGTGACTCCCATCGACTTTGTACTGCAGCCACTTCACGGGCCGCCGCCGCTCCCGGTCACCCTGAGGGGAAACTTCAGGACGATCAGCAGGAGTGAAGGGAAGCAGGAACTGGTGATGGATTGTTATTGGCCGTTTAAATGGCAGGAACAGCAGACTGAGATCGCAATATGAACATATTCTACTCTCAGATCCCCAACCAGAGCTGGGAGCTCATTTACATGAGCAAGTCTTTTTAAAACATTTTACTTTTTACTTTTTTTGTACTTTTGCTTGAGTATTATGAAGTATTTCTGCTCTTACTTGAGTAAAATCTTTGGATTTTCTACCCACTGAATGAAAAACTAACATGTTTTAATCAGAATTTCACCAGACACACCTGCAGTTTTTGTTAAAGTTTCATAAGTTTTTTATTGAAAGAAACTGATTTGGAAACATTTTCTTTTGCCTGATTTTGTTATTTTTTGCTACTTGTGTAAATTTTTGTAATTTCTGCTCTTAAAACACCAAAATTTCCACTTAACTTTACATTTTGTTCTGTCTGCTGATGTAATTTTTAAACATTAAATGACTGATTATTTGATCAGTTACTCAGTCCCTGAGTAGACATTTTACCAAACACTTTTTTTAATTTAAGACGTCTAAAAACTGTCTTAAGACCATTATGAAAGCAGCTTCAGACCTAAATTTCCACAGAAATGTAAGATCTTGAATAATTCCTTGGACGGCTACGTTGTACTGTAGCTGGAGTATTCCTACTCGTTTAGTGTTTGGTCACTCTCCCTGCCTCTCTCGCTGATGTGTGGCCGTCGTCGCCACGTTTCCGCCGGAGCCGGTTCTTGCTCCGCGCCGCTCTCCTCTAATCTTGGTGAGACGCTGTTATTTCGAGTGGGAGCAGCCGCTCTCACGTGAATGTCAGCGTCCGACTGCGGCCTCCTGTTGGAGATTTGTAAGTGCCTGAGCGGGAAGCAAACAAACATTTGCGCTGCTGCAGGAGAGGGTGTCACACTTCTCAGGTTGCCATTGTTTGTTGTTTTTTTTCCCCCTGTACTCAGATTAATAAATCATGAATATTTCATTATTGCCTGCTTTCTCCTAGATAAAGCGCCCGGCTCGTGATGGAGAATGCTAATGATGCAGAGGATAATTAGTTAGAATGCAGTGCGGCGTAATTGCCGCTCTTTGATATTTTGGTGTGAGTGTGTAAGAGGCAGATTTAAGCCTATAAGCACATAAAACCTCCGTTTGTTATTCCATCTTATCGGCCTGCGTAGCCATTTCAAATCCCCTCTCTTTCAATGCTGAGATCTCTGCCTTGCGCTCGCCTCATCACCGGTGCCTCGGCTGCGTTTGAGTGCCAATATGTGGGGCGAGTCGGCGTGTCAGGGTAGTTCCTCCTGCCTGACCCCGTTTGCCTCTCAGACTTTGACAAAGTTAATTTGTTTTCCAAGTTACATGCCGACACTTTCTAAATATCAGAGAAGGAAACCAGAGTCTGCTCATCCTTAAAATGTCTTAAATACATGTATAGAAAATTAAGACCTTAAAATGCCTTAAATTTGTTAAATTAATGAATCTTACTACATTTAAGATGTCAGCAGGACAATTTAATGTCATGTATTCATATTATTTTTTTCATTCTGACAAAAGTTTGAGTCTTGCCCCACATTTGTGAGTCGATGCGGTTGAAGCTGCCTTTAACTTGCTGCTAACATGCTCTGGCTGCTACGTAGCTCTTTGTGTCTGTCCTGGGTAACATCAGTTGGCAGGACGAAGATCGTACATTTCCATGGAGACTTGGGTCTTAAACTCATTTCATAATGGTCTTAAAAAAGATTTTCAATAGCCTTAAATTTATGTAGCTAAAATGAAGCCCTTAAAATGTCTTAAAATCATTAAATAAAACTAAGTTGGGCTTAAGTTAATCACAGGTCTTAACCTCTTTGGTTCCTCAGGTTTCAAACATTCAAATTTGGTAATTTTTACACCAGTTTTAAGATTTATCAATTATTCTGTTGGCCAGGTTTCTGGTCGGTGTTGGTACAAAATGGTTAAATATTTGGGCATGTTGTGGCTTTTTACCACCATCAGCTTGAACTGTTGATGCTCGGCAGGACTTGGTGTTGTTTAATGCCAGGTTCTGACGTTGCAGATAAAATCGAGATTCCAGGCTATATTTTCCTGTCTTTTATTGTTCTGCTTTGTTGAATCAAGCCTCGGTTTCCTGTTTTTGGGTGTGAAACCAGGTGTGGTTCTGCTGCCCGTCTGTTTTAAGGTGAAACATGCTGTTTAGTCAGAGACGGCATTCTTTCGTAAACGAGTGGTTAGTCGAGGAGTTATTTGTTTTACTTTGGTCCACGCCGCTGCTGTTCACTGGATATTTTCTGTCTCTGTGCATCGAAATCCCAGTAAATCAGCAGCTTTTGGAATGTCTGATTTCTAGCAGTTGCTGCCATCTGATTGATTTGCAGATGATTGAACGAATCCCACGTATTTCAGCTTTTTATAAGAGAAATATTAGCAAATTAAATGGCTTTTCCCCCCCAGAAAACAATCCGTTACCCTTCAAACACAGCTGACCGTCAAATCATTGAACGCTTCTCGTTTCAGATCCCAAGTTTTTGTTGCAACTTGCTTTTATTTCAGCAGGTTTTTCCTGTGTGCATCTGCTCATCCACCCATATCTGTGTGTGTTTGATCGCTCTTTGTCTGCAGACGCAGGCGTGTAAATACAAGCCTGTGTGTGTTGGAGGGAGCACACATGATGGCCGGGGTCATGACCCTGCTGTCTGAGTGACGAGGACAAAGGCCCACTCTCTGACCCACATTCACTGACGGATTAACAGCACAGCCAAGCCGACCCCCAAACTCAAAGGTGGCGGCGGTGGGAAGCAAGAGAGCGGAAGAACCACAGGGAAGAAGTGGGGGATGGGAGGCTTGGACACTGAAGCCCAAGTCCAACAGCATGCATCCTGCTGCTGCAGGCGATAAGAGAACATCAGAACAAAAAACACTTCAAAAGAAACAATATTTAAACGATTAATCGTGATTAATCGGTTTAAATAACCATCAACTAATTTAGTAATCGATTAATTGTTAACTGGAGATAAGCCTATCTTTTGAAAAAACTACGTTTAGAGCGGTAATTAAGGAAAAACTCAATTGCAAAATATATGTATACACTTTGGATTTAAGATAAAAGCACTTTTTTTTATACATGCACTGCAAAAACACAAAATCTTCCCAAGTAATTTTAGTTTCTAGTGCAAAATACACTTGAAATAAGACAAAACTAACTTTTCGACAAGATACAAGAGATTGTTTTAGGTAAGTCTTTAATATTTATGGAAAAATACTAGTTCTACTGACACATTATTCCTGTTCTAACTTAAGAAAAGTTTATTTTTGTAAGTGCAATAACCTGAAAAATGAAACAAGAACTTTTTCATCAAAATTAAGGAATTATTGACTTAATGAAGCTCATATTTCTTGCTGAAAAGTTACGTATGAGTTAGTTTTATCTTGTTGTGTACTAAGGTATTTAAACTAGACATTAGACCAAAATACTTGGTAAGATTTTGTGTTTTTGCAGTGCATGTTTTAGCAAAAACTCCTCGAGTTGCAAAGTTTTAGCCTCAGATTCACTAAAGACAGCACAGCCATTCTATGTTTATTTCCTTTTGGCTGATTGATTTTTGTTTATTTATATATCACTTAAAAACAACCAGCCAGGAAAACTAAAGCAAAAAATATCACATGGCAAAAGCAAATGCAATAACTGCACTGTATTATAAAGTTTTAAAAGCCTGCATAAAAAGATAAATCTGAAGTTTAGACTTAAAAAAATCCTGGTTAAATGCAAAATTTGCAGAATGTGCCTTTTGTTTTGTCTGATTAATCATCAGATAATAAATTTATAAGATAACAACCCTAAAATATCTCCACTTTGTTCCCAAACCAGCTGGAAATGACTGTTTTATTAGCTATAGTTGTAAAAATGTGAGTCAATGTCAGTGCGTGTCCCTCCCCAGGACTGTCAGGAAGCTTTTAAAAAGACGGAGCTAATGAGCGATCTGGTATTAAGAGCCGAACCTGCCGCTCCCTTCCCTCTGTCACAGCTGAAGGCCTCTCATCCCTAACTTGTGCTGATGTAAAAGTTTGCTGGCAGAGAAGTAAAGTGAGGAGCTGAGCAGTTTTTGGAAAGCTCTGACAGCACAGAACAGAAAGGGGAACAAGAACCTCGCTGTGTTCCTGCGAATTCAATTAAACCAGACAGCTCTGTGACTGGCTGCGGCAGAAACTGATGATCAGGAGAGACTGATTGGTCCTCATTAAATTTTACTGCTGACGGCGGATGAGAGGTTCTGCTGGTTCTGGCTGCAGGTTGGAGAGGCAGTCTGAGTTGGGTCTCGGCTTTTTCACCTTCCGGCACTCAGGTTGATTCTTAAAGAAGTTTCTGTGCCTTCAAAAGCCGGGGATATACAACTTTAACAGGTTTACTGCACTGCAAAAACACAAAATCGTACCAACTATTTTGGGTCTTGTTGACATGTGTCAAACTCGAGGCCCGTGGGCCAAATCCGGCCCACCACAGCTTTTTATGTGGCCCTCTAGATTCTGGACTTAACACCAAGTGTTTTTTAAGGATATTTTTTGTATCTAATTGGTCTGATTTTTATGTTAACCCGACTTGATTATTTTTGCAAAAAAGTCACATTTTTCTGAAGTTACACATTTATTCCAAGCGTGGGGGAATTGGACGCACTGTAAAACACTATTTATTAAAAAAAAAAATTTCATTTTATTGTTCTTTTGACTCAACTTCAGATTATTAGGTTTCAGTGATTTAAAAAATTGAGGTGATTTTGTTAGGTTTTACAGTGTAAGTGCTGTAAAATTGGCTCAAATTAATTGATCTGATTTCCACCAATTTTTTAAGGATATTTTATTCTGCATTTAATTGATCTTATAATTGGTGTTTTCTTAACCTAACTTGATAATTTTTGTAAGAAATAACACATTTTTCTGAAATTACAAAATTTTTGCACATTGTAAAACTAGCATTTTACAGTGTGATCCATTGATCTATTGACTCAACTTCTGATCATTTAGTTTCAATGATTGAAATCTATTACATTTTCAATAAGTTTGATGTGGTTTTTGCTTTGGGTTTATAGTGTAAGTGTTGTAAAATTGGCTCAAATTAATTAGTTTAATTTGCTGTTTGCTTTCGTTATTATGAATTTTTATCAGTTTAAAAAAAAAAAGGCAGTTACACATTTCCACCATGTTTGTGGTCATTTTACTGAAGTTTTTTAGTGTAATCACTGTAAAATGAGCTCATTAAAAGTCACATTTCACTGTTTTCCTGAGTCATTTAAAGCATTTTCTGCTCCTCCAGCGTACAGAGGAATGTTCTCTGGTTAAAGACGCATAAACAAATGTTCCTGTTATGAGCTAAACTGAGATGCTTGAAAGGGAAAGCAGAGATATAAATGCTGGAGGTTTATGCTGCGGCTCCTTTGCTTCATGAAAGGTGAGCCTGGCAGTAAATGAGGCTCCGGTTATCTTTTCTCTGCTGAACTGAGGCGTTCAGAGTGTGTCGGAGGTCGCCGTGTCTCTGCCGGAGCGGGTTGCCTGGTTTTCCTGCTTGGTGGTCTCGCTGCCTCTGGGGATTCGTGTCGACCCTGCAGCCGCTGGCTTGGTGAGCCAATGAGCCCATTTGTCTCTGAAACCATCCCTACATCTGCGACGGCCTTCTCTCTCTCTCTCTCTCTCTCCCCCCCAACGTTTCCGGCTAAATCAAAGGCGCGCTGGTCAGAGCACGGTTCTGCGCTGCGGCTCTCCCTCGGGGGGGAGGAGCAGAAGGGGTTGTCAGTTTTTATTGCCCTCCAGAATAGCAGCTTTTATGCCCCGAGAGGCCGTTCAGCAAACACCTACCAACAGGCGCATCAATGGGGCCGAGAGGAGCATTTGACGCCAACTTGAACGCCGATCTCCTTCCTTCACAGGGAGGAAAACAAACACTCAGCCCCGCCGCCGGCATTCATATTTAAATAGTAATTGGCAAAAGGAGGAAATCTTAACAAGGGCGAAGAGGAGGAGGGAGTAGAGGGGAGGCGATGGCTTAGAAAAAGCATTATGTCAGTGAAGAATGCGAGCATGGCGCAGAGTTTAAGGCGCCTCGGCTGCAGGAGAGAAAGGAGGTTTTGTTGGAGCCTGATGGCAGGACTCTTCCCCCCGTCTGGTTTGACTTCCACTCTCGGGGTGTAAAAGTCGCCCCTGAAGGGGGTCCGATTGTTTTCCACTTTCCAGTACTTGTGGCTCATTAACAAACCCAGCTCCCCCCCCACCCCCCCGTATGGACTACAGCGTCGTTCCCTGCTGGCGATGACGATGGCGCGCCAGCCTTCATCAGCCCAGATCTGCTCTGCCAAATTCCTCAACCCTTAAGAGATAAGCAGCAAAGCCAAAACTAAAGAGGAGGAGGAGGAAGAAAGCATTTGGTGTCACCAAGGAGAGTCTTGGTACGTGCAGAGTGTGGATATGCAGTCGCCTGCAGAGAGCCGTTTCCTTAGTTTTATTAGGAGTTTGTTTGCTGCTGCTGAGTTTATTCAGCAGCTTGAATGAAGCTGCTTTTTATAGCAGAGAGTGGTTATTGGCTATAATTCTGTTTTATTTAATTAACACCTACGCTCCTTTTCAGCTTCCATCCATCTTCTCCTTTCTTTGCTGCTTTTGATTTGCAAACAGTAATCGTTTCTGACGTGAAAAGCCAAAACTTTTGAGTTTGCTGTGAAAATATTAAGTTTTTTCACAGTTTGTCACTTTAAAGCCAGAAACTTCTGCCTTTGGTAATGTTTTATTTGAAGGGGTGTGCATAAAACTGACATGAAGCAGTCATAAACGTGATATAACACCTGTTATAGATATGAAGGAGTCTTAATAAATGTTTATTTTATGACACTTTTAATGCAAAGTTCCTCTAATAGTTGCATTAAACGTCCATTATTTACCAAACATTTCATGACAGCAGTCGTAAACATTTATTAAGACTCCTTCATGTTTATAGCAGTTGTTATATCACGTTTATGTCATTGTCAGTTTTATGCATTATTAGTCAGTTAATCCAGAATAAATCAGCACATCAGCCCTGGACTGATGAGTCGAGCAGAACTGGCTCAACTTTTCACATGTTGATGTTGGAAGTTTTTTTTTTTTTTTTTTTTAGCTGCAGATGCTCCTTTGCTACAAATGATCAAAAGTTTACTGAAGGAAACATTCAATAAAATGTTTATTTCCTCATTTAAAAAAAGGAATTAAATTGTTTTATCTGAACCTTTTTAAAGTATAATATATATTTTAAAATAAACTTAAGTGGTTAATGAAAAATCTGCAGAAAGTGCAAATTTTTTATCCGATTAATCGTCAGAATAATTGATTAATAGTCAGAATAATTGATTAATCATCTAAAAAAATTGATTCCTAAAATAGTTGTTAGTCACAGTCTTTATCGATAAATATCTCTGGCTGTAGCTGGAGTGAAAAGTGGGTCTAGTTTTGATTTGTGGAGCCTTGAAAACAGACTTGCAACATTTTCCTTGGGTTTTCACTTGTTAAAAAATGAAACCCATGAATCATCTTCCTTCCACTTTCAGATTATATGCTTGTGGTTGTAATGTGACAAAGCAGTACTCTTCTAAACCCAGAAAAATAAAAATGTTGTTTTCAGTTCAAATTTTCCGCGATGTCGGCGGAGTTGGGTTCTTTTTCTGCCTGCATGTCACTTTCTGTGGTCGTATCGCCGAGCCTTTATGAGGCTTTTCCTTTGCACTGCGGCTTCCTTTTTTCTGCGTCCTGACTTACCGCATCCTTGCCCATGGCAGCAAATTACAAACATGTAGAAGGAGAAGAAACCCGAGCGAGTAAACCCAGGGATGCCGTCAAGAGTCGCAGCCTCGGAAATAAAGACAGAACAGAGAAGCGGAAAGACGAAGTGGAAGGAAGATTCATA